AGGACATGCATATGTTTGTATTTAAAACCTGTATACCATTAACAAGCCCCACCCAATCCCCCCACCTCTCCTCAATCAGCAGATCCCCCTTCCTCTCCAACACACAGAGCTCCTCCACCACCCACGCCAAAAAAAGAATCAGAATATCTTTCCTACTCTGACACCCTCCCAAGGTCCAGTGGCAACTGACTGGGAAAGGCCCTACTGCAATTTAAGGCAGAGTATCGCTGACACAGGCACAAAGGCAAGCTTCCCTCCACACATCCTTAAAGCTACGGAACCAGGGGGGTAAAAGCATAAAGGAGAGAGAGAACTTTTTTACCATGGCCTCCCCTCCAAAGAAATAAAAAAAGTGAGGAGAATGTTTCAAACCGTGTTTTGATCATTCCTACAAGAAGACTCACTATAATGAAGGAAACCCACAAACTTATTATTCAGTTATAACCTAAAACCTTCTATGTCTATGCTCAGTATCAATGCTTAATTCACTAAATTCATTTTTCACAAGTATTTTTACTATTAGGAAACTGAAGGTTAATGTAAAATAAAATGCATTTCAGCAGTAGGTAATTTTCTGGTGATTTCTTAGTTATTCTAATAAAAGGTATCATCTCTGAACCTAGAGTTCTAGAGTTTTACATTTCTTTCAGCAGTAGGAGCATATAACTTCTGGTACTGTTTAGCACAAATGCATACTACCAACATCAACCATACTGAGCTCAATTAACATTTTTCTCACCTTGCACAAGCCAAGGCAACCAGGGCAGCAGCTGCATTTTCTTTTTGCTTATATGGAATCTGCTGGCCTGTCACAGAAGTATCTTCCAGCCAGGAACAGAGCAGTGATTCTATTCCATTAAGACAGTCAGCTGGTTCCTTAGTCAAACTCAAAGGCTGGCAGTCCCGAAGGCAATTCAATAGCACCTCAGCAGTTATGTTACAGAGAGAAGGGTCTGTTCTACTTTGAGACTGAATGAGAGGAAAGACCAGTAAGAGCCCCATTCGGGAAGTAAATGGTGCCTGCTCAGGTTGCTGTAACAAGCCCTGACGTTTAAGCAAAGCCAACGTTTCTTCATCCCCAGAGCTTTCCCGTTCGTGTTGCTCCTCCAAGGCAAGCTGGCGCTGGGCATTCCAGAGTCCGCGCAAAGCATTTAAGCGGTATTCAAGAAGTCGGGCATACGCGTTGCTCTGGTTTCCACATACAGAACGTAAACGCTCAGCTAGTTCTGTTGGATTCTTGGTTTCAAATGTTAGTATCTAAAGAAAAGGAAGAAGTAGTTCACATTTACTAGTGCGACTCGAAAAGCAAAGTCAAACTTATCCATGGAATACAACCTCTACATATTAAACTGAAACATAATGCGAGTCTGTTTTCAGTCCATGCCCCAGAAAATATGGAATTTTTCCATGAAGTACATTGTGTAATACTTCCTCTGATTTTGGACTGGTTAACACCACTTCTCTAAATTTAACAAACAGCTATGTTTGCTTCCAGCTAGTCCTCTTAACTTCATTCTGATACTCCTAATTTCTTCTGCTTCAAATTATTTCAGATTATACCTGCTCAAACAGCTGCTGCCACTTTCTTCTCAGATAGCATTTTTTGTAAGGAGAAACGTCTTGGCACTTCCGTGCAAAGAGGGAAGCAAAGCTATGACAGCAACAACAAAATCACAAACCCCGATGGAAAGACGGGTGTTTGAGAATTTTTCCAAGTGCTAAGAGAGAAAACCAAAATATACAAGACAACTGATAGGTCATCTTTCTCCCTGACACTATCGCAGCTGAGATCAGCAGAATAACTGGACCTAGAGTTTCAACAGAATCAAAGAGGGCTGCTAACAGTGTGTTTTTTCTGCAAGAAGTCCTTGGAACTCACTCACTCCTCACCTTGGTCCATCAGAAAAGCTTTCTGGGTATGCTGCAAAAGCTTGTCACGCAGGCTAATGAGGAAGGAATGGAATAAGAGCCGAGGTGGTTACACTCGCCACAGTCCTTTTATGTTTTAATTTTTGAGATAGACATCCAGGCTATACGATAACATGGCTACAGCTAAATTTTATGAGTCTGTAGGTTAGGCAAATAAATTGTTTCAGGAAAAGTTATTTCCTGGCTTCATGAATGTGGTAAGCGGGATTTGTTACTACTAAACTAGAATGAATTAAAAAAACCTGAAAAATCTAACTGTATTTACACCATTATAGAGGCTAATATTCAGCCATTAAAATGCAAGTGCATTTTATATATCAATTTCTCTAAGCAATTTAAGAATATTAGCTTCTAAACTGTATTATACAGAACAATATTTACTGTAAATACATTTTTCAAATGCTAAGCTTTGTGAATTCTATTGCCTCCTGGAGACAAAATTAAATCGATCTGTTTTATAGAAGCAATCATAACCTAAAACTTCTATTCAGAGAAAGTCAAAGTAGACTGCATTTGCAAGAAATTACACTTTTAACTCACTAGGACGAATTTTCAAATGGAAAGTAACAAGTAGGAACAGCAAAGAGGAAGAACAATTCATGAAGATCAGTTTTAGAATATGCACATACTGCTGTCATCTCAGACCTCCTTTTAGAAAACAAAAAAAGAAATAAAACAAAAACCAGTAGGTCTTCCACAGAAAAGGCAGCTCCCTCAAGAGTTAAAACCCAAGGAGAAAAGCCTGCCTTTTAACAAAAGTTTACTATACTAATGTCAAAGGCATCACAAAGGGGAATCATTATGTGGCTATTTGGGTTCTCCTTTGATACTGTTATAAGCACTAGAAAAATTGATTTCTTTAGATCACTTATGTTGTGTTTTTCAGCCTCTTTCTTTCTCAAAAAAATAATGGGGCCTTCAAAGCGTGTGCCAGATGAGGCTTAAACACTTAGTTGTGCCCAATGAAGCCAAAAGTCCCCATGTATCACTATATTAAATTCACAAATCTCTACAGCCTTGTATGTGCTACAAACAAAATCTATAACTATCTTGAAATACAGTTACTTGCTAAGGGGATCTGAAGCATGAAGTTCAAACATCATATCATCACTTTTATTCCAGTCAGGTTACAGCAGGGGTGGGGAAAATCTGGCCCACACGGGTTGCGAGCGGCTACAGCAGGAAGCACCGGCCACAGGGCGGGTGAGGGGTCGCTTTTCCCCTGCGCTTAGCACCAGCTTCTTCCCTGATGGTGAGCACAGGGTTGGGGCTGCATGCTGCCCCCCACCTGTACCATATGGCTGGGAGTGAGCTTGTGCAGGAGCAGGTTCTGCACCCGTGTCCCAGGGCCAGCGTTAGCAGGGCCCAGAGCAGGACAGCATGCGTACAGGGTCCCGGCTGGCAGGGGCTCTATGGAGCCAGGCCAGCTCCCCCCTCACCCTGCTTGTGCAGCCCAGCCTGGCTCCACAGACCCCTGCCAGGCTGCGCCCTGCTCTGGGTCCCACCAGTGCTGGCCCTAGGACATTGGTCCCAAGACATTGGGACATTGGTCCCAAGACGGTAACCAGGGGACGGGGCACCTGTCAAGGGACAGGGCTACCTATGCGGCCCTCAACAGCTTGCCACAGCTTGGTAAGTGGTCCTCCGCCCAAAATAATTGCCCACCCCTGGGTTACAGTCTCACCTAAACATAGCAATGGCTACAGTTACCCTGAAAACCTAATCAGTAGCTTCAAGCCTTAAACTTGCTGGGCTCTCCAAACATAACATTATTTTAGAAGACGTTGTGCTTTCAGAATAGTATTTAATACTATGAATTAAAACAGCTATATTTAGGCTTCTTAGTTGCCAGTCTATTTTTTCCACTTTCTGATATTTCTTCTTTTCCTACAATTAGGTCCAGCAGTAACAATGTCAAGTTGACAGAGATTCGATATTTTCCATGTTTCAGGGATATTGGTTGTAGCCATGTTGGTCTAGGACATAGGCAGACAAGGTTCTTTGGGTAACTCCAATATCTTACTACACCAACTAAAATAGTTGGAAAAATTCTTCTTTCATAGATTCATAGATATAGGGTCGGAAGGGACCTAAGTAGATCTTCAAGTCCGACCCCCTTCTTGCAAACTTTTGGGTACAAACACCCTTCTTCAGGCAGAGGAAGCACCAAATCTTGCCAACCTTGTCACCAGAAGCAAACTTCCTATGGCCCAAGCACACCAAATGGATCTAGACCATGCCATGACAAGAAATGTAAAACCTGCCACCATATCTCTACCACCCTCACAATTACTATACCCCACAACAGA